AAAAAATTAGAAAATCGCCCCAAAAAGTTAACCGGGCCCACGTCTCCAAATCGGGTAAAAGTCACAAAATCCGAACCATACCAAAATTACTCAAATCCGATACCAAAATCTCAATCAAAACTTCAAAATTCGGCCTAAGAACTTTTCCTATATTTTTCCCAATTTTCCACCCCAAATCACAAATTAAATGATGAAATCAAAGGCATAATCACGGAAATTAACCAAAATTAGGTAAGAATAACTTACCACAAACAGCCACATGAAAATCTCTCAAAAAATCGCCTAATTACGAGCTCTCAAGTCCAATTGGTGAAAAATGACATAAACTCTCGATTTTGAACTTTTAAAGGCTGCCCAAGTATTTCCTTCTTCACGAACGCGGAAGCTTCCTTGCGTTCGCGAAGCACAAAAATGCTTCTGCCCAAAAAACCTTCTATGCAAATGCGAGGGCCCACTCGTAAACGCGGTGAACACTGCCCCGAGGCCTTCGCGAACGCGGAGCTTCTCTCGCGAATGCGTAGGCTAAAAGCCTGAGGCCCCAATTGATCGATCCTTTACGCGAACGCGAAGTCCCTCACGCGAACGCATAGACCTCAGACTCCTCAGATTCGCGAACGCGAAGGCAAAAGTCCCAGCAACACTTACCTCCTCTACGCAAACGCGGGAGAACCATCACGAACGCGTAGAAGTAAACTAGACAACAGATTTTCTGAAGCTTCAGCCATCATCCAAGTCAAAATTCTAATCCGTTAACCATCTGAAATCCACCCGAGGTAGCCGGGACCTCAACCAAACCTACCAACAAGTCCTAAAACATCATACGAACTTAGTTGAACGCTCAAATCAATTCAAATATTGCTAAAAACATGAATCACACCCTAATTCAAGCTTAATGAACTTAGAAAATTCTAACTTCTACAAATGATGCCGAAACCTATCAAATCACGTCCGATTAACCTCAAATTTTTCACACACGTCATAAACGACATTATGGACCTATTGCAACTTCTAGAATCGAAATCTGACTCCAAAATCAAAAAGTCCACTCCCGGTCAAACTTTCCAAAAAATCTTCTAATTTTCTAACTTTCGCCAAATAACGCTGAAATGACTTACAAACCTCCAAATCAACATTCAGACACGCTCCTAAGACCAAAATCACCATACGTGGGTATTGGAATTTGCGAAACTCCATTACGGAGTCGTCTTCACACAGGTCAAACTACGGTCAACTCTTACAACTCAAACTTCACACTTAGGGACTTTGTGTCCCATTTCACTCTGAAACTCTCCCGAACCCGACATCGAGCAGCCCGTAAAGTCAAGTAAGCATAAAAATGAAACAGAGGGAATAATAAATAGGGTATCAGGGCTCATACTCTCAAAACGACCGTCCGGATCGTTACAATACATTATGACTTGCATTTAAATGGCATGATATCTTCAGGTGTCTGGACTACAAGTTCGATCCTCACAATATTTTACGATATTGTGCACTATGTTATATAAAATATATCTCGTCGATGATTTTTTATCGGTTCCTAAGCGACATAACTTGTTGAGATCTCTTCACTTTCTTTATTTTCAGGTACCTGAACTTCTTTTGGAGTTTCATGAAATGTTATGCCGTGGGCTCTTCTAGAGCTCATTTCCTCCTCATTATGATCATTTGCTCCTATTATTTTTCAAGGATTGTTACCTTTGGAACCGATCGGTTTACTACGATGCACGCATGCAGTAAACTTTATCCTTCAAGGACTTCAATTTTAATAGGAGCATTTGCAACTGAAATATGATATTTAATTTTGGATCAGCAAATGCTTCTGGATTTGACTTGAATTTTTTTTTAGGTAAGGATCATATTAATGATAATTCGATTCATATATCATATTTTCCAGTTGTTTATTCCATTCCCAAATGTTTTACAAACTAACACATATCCCAATCTTCTTTGGGAAACCTATCTTTGTGCATTGTGGTAGAGAAATCAATCATACCACATATCAAAAGTTATTAGATAGTAATAATATTTGGTTTCTAATCCTAAACCAATTGTGAGGGGAGAACTTATCATATATTGTTGGTCTGATGCGTACAAGTGCTGCTATATGCAATTTAGAAAATCTTAGACCAACACATGAAGCTTTTATCTCATAAGCAATAGTTTAGCCATTAATAGGAGGTATTCAATGATAAACCAACTTGGATATAAACCAGCATTATCAAGATGAACTGTCTTAATTTCATAATCTGAAAATTATGCTCTTAATTGAGAAAATCAATTTCAAATGCCAAACTGCAGTTTACAATAATCACACATGTAACCATCTCATATATGCATCTATAAGTGATTCACATGATAGGTGAATGGGGCCATATTCACCTTTATATATTTCAGAATCAGGGGTCGTAGTCCCAATTTTAGCTGGTATAATCAATTTATTATGAGAACAAGCAACACAAGAGAATTCTTGAAGAATCTTCTAGTTCTTCAGGAATTCTCAAATAGCTCATTTAAAATGGCAAATGAAAGCTTCAAGTTTATCATGGCATGTGCTATGTCTTAGCAAACTTCTGGTTTACTATGGCATACATTTTTGCATTAGTAAACTTCTGGTTTACTGTGATACATGATGTAGTACAAATTGAAGAATAGGACGGGTAACTTCTCACATACATATTATTTTACCCCCTATGATTGTGGAAATTTGAAGATTTTCAATCTTTCAATCATTTGTAGTCTCAATATGACAGCCATTTGTACTAGTAAACTTCGGGTTTACTACAACATATGTTTTGACCATAATCATATAATATGAATGACTTGTTTGTATATAAGCTCTTCGAGAACCTTTATTTATTATCCACAATCGAATATTATTCAGACACTACTGGTGTCATGTGTCTTCTAGATAAACAGTTAGTTCTTCGGGAGTTATTGATACATTTTATACTATCAAATATTGCTCAGACACATCTGGTATCAACAACAACAACAACAAAAACAACAACAACAACATACCCAGTATTATCCCATAGTGTAGTATCTGGGGAAGGTAGTGTGTACGCACACCTTACCCCTACCTTGTGAGGATAGATAGGTTATTTCTAATAGACCCTCGGCTCAGGAAAACATAATCACCACATTAATAAAAATAAAGACAAGAAGGGACTGCACCAGAAGCCCTATAAAAGTAGAATAAAGACAACAAGGTATAAAAGACACTTCTGGTATCATGAGAGAAAATCAAATAAAATAATTGTTTAAGCACAAGAAACACCTCTTCATAATATTTTCCTACTTCAGGAGGAAATTTTAATTGTGTTACTTCTTAAGGAGCAAATTTAAAATACGAAAAATTGAGTATATATTCTCTCAATCATATTACCTCTTCTGGAGGTGAATCGTAATATATTTACATCAATAGCGCGCTCTTATTTCCGATTTTATTAATATTGTCACATTCACTTCACGGAATGAATTAATATTTATAAAAAATTCTCATCTTTTAGAAAATCGAACATAATTATCTGAACGCGCATTAATCACATCAAATTGTGATGCCTCAACCTCTTTAAAACATTTACTACTTCAGGAGCAAATCGAGGCGTGCATGTAATATAGAGAATATTTCTGTAGCTTATCTTCAATCGTAACCATAGAAAGCCTAAATTATCACTTATGGTGGTCATAGGCATATACCACTTCTGGTGGTTAACAAAATTTAGTTACAAGGAGATATACGAGACATAACCCACTTCTGGTGGTTGTATATTTCTTGCAAACTCTGCTGGAGATTAAGTGGATCTAACAATGTTATCCCCTTTGTAATTTTTTATTAAGATAATTAGGATGAAAACCAATAACAAAATAGGTATTGTATACATAACATATAATCAAGCAAGCGATGATAAAGATATTAAATCAAATATAAGCAAAAGGCTCAAATTACTTTACACAAATTTGGCCACTCTAGACATAAGTGATATCCACATCACTACCGCCAAGAAGAAAAGCTCACCACCTCAAGAATATAATCTGCCTTATGATGCTTGGAATGAACAAGATCTAACCACGGACGTAACAACTTTACCTTACATCAGAGATGAACACTGAAATAAAAATTAAATTCGAAGTAAGTACTCAAAATGGCAGAATCTCGTGCTGATAACGTGTTAAAAAATAAAAACTGTAAAGTAAATAAATCGAAGACAAGTATAGAGAGAGACTGATATGTTATTCAACTTCAAACTGATGTACGTAATAAACTGAAATCTCTTCTATTTATAGAAGAAAGCAAGTTGTTGTGTAAGCTGCTACTACAAGCTGTTGTGTAAGCTGCTTGTAAGGTGCTACTGCAAGCTGTTGTATAAGCTGCTTGTAAGCTTCTTGTAAGCTCCAACTGCAAGTTGCCGTGTAAGCTTTTTGTAAGTTGTTATTGTACCAGCTATAGATAATCTTCTACAGAAGTGATATTTATCCACAACGGAGTGCCGAAATGATAAGTTTCTTCAGGAGGCTTATTTCCAATAAAGTACTAAATAGATAAACATATTTACGACATAGTCCAATATAAATAAGCTTTTTCAGGAAGCTTATTTATAACAGAGTACTAAATGAACATCCACAATATAATATATTTATAACAGTTAAGCCATTTGATGAGAAATAACAATTTTAGAAGTGCCGTGTTTATAGATAGAGTTAGAAGAAAAGAAAAAAAGCACTATACTTTTCTCTAAATAAAGAAGAAGATGCATTTATTTCTTATGAAAAAAATTAATAAAATTAAATGGAATAGAAAATTAATCAAACTAATAAACTTCAAGTACTGAAAATGAGAACTCTTACGATATGTAATGCTTTACTAAGCATTACATATATTACTGATGACAAAATAAAAAAAAGGAAATTCCAATATAGTACTTTTGGTAGAAAAGATAATTATATTAGTAATATAATTAAAGGGCCGTTGCTTTCACTCAATTAACTTCGTTTCGTACTCGGTCAGCAACGGCTACCGTCACACTGCCTAAAACCTGGGAAATCACAGAGCCTGACTAGAGTGCCTCCACTTTACTACAGTTTCCATATTCATAAATTTGGAAGAGGAAAGAAAACAAACTCCCAATTCCAACTTCATATTTCTGCTCTTCTTTCACAGGTAATTTTTTTTTAAAGATCTCTTGATCATATAATATCTTAATGAAGGGTAAAATAAAAATTTGTATTCTTGTTTTACTTGTCTATTAGCTTTCTTCAAAATGTGTTCAAATGATTGTTTCTTGCTTTATGTGCATGTTTCTGCGTTTACTGTTCCTGCCAATGTTGATAAAAACTGCACAAATCCCTTCAATTTCTGAGTGAGTTCACATGAAATGTAGGAAAAATTTTATTTTGTGCCTCACACAATTGATACTAGTTGTGTGAAACACAAAATAAAATCACTCGAAATGTAGCAACTATATAGAATTTGTAAAAGCGCTCACCTTTGGGCTTTGGCAAATTTAAAGGACTAAAACTAATCAATTAAGGATATAGTTAAGGGACCATTTTAGATCTACCCCACACATTTTTGTCATTTTCACTGGAGATATCGATCCCATTTGGTTGATACCGAAGCGTTTGTGTTTTTATTGGGGAATAGAGATTTAGAAACTAAAGTGCAGCTACATTTACCTTTCGTTTGGGAACATGGTAATAGTAAAGAACCTTTTCATTCTTTTTTTTTTTTTGGTTTCCCACCCGGTGTCCGGTATCGCATTGGAGCCCGACTATATCCGGATTCGTGCCGCGTAATGCCCCATTCGGGGGAAGCGCTCCCTACCAAGTATTTTTCCATACCCAGGACTCGAACTCGAGACCTCTGGTTAAGGGAAGAGCAGTCACATCCACTGCACCACATCCTTTGGTGGTCCTTTACATTCTTTGCTCAACTTAGATAGCTCAATGTGTACCATGAAATGCCTTTTTATTACATATGGTAGAAGCCATATCCATCTAGTCAATGATTTTATATTTTTATTCACTCGATATTTGGGTCATAATTATTACAAAGGAGGGATTGTCAAGTGGTCTAATGCGTAGCATTGGTATTGCTATGTAGGCTTTCGTTTAATGAAGGGTTTAAATGAGAAAAAGATCTCCTCAATGTGTAAAACTTCTGTCCTCTGGAAGCCATAATCACTATGTAATAAAGGTGCTGTGCTAACTTCTCATTTCCACGTCTTTTCTAATCAAAGTACTTTTACACTCTGATTTAACATCAATGATGGATATATTTAGACTATTTTGTAATGTTAGTTTTTGCTATGTCATGCTTTCCTTCTTATGCCTTTAACTTGATTTGTCTATGCTTTTGCGAAAGGACTGTTTTACTCCTATTGGATAATAACGTGTTTAGGGTAATTTTACTAGTATTCTTCATCTATCAAAAATATATTATAAAGATCAGAAGAAAAAGGGGAGTTCTAAAGCATAAAGATTCTTAAATTCTCCAAAATCTTCTTCCTTTTCATCTGTATTGTAGTAATGGTAAATGAAAATCCTGTTTTTAACATATCAACTGCTTAACATATCAACGCGTGGTGCTCTATTAACTTCTCACTTTTTCATGTGTACGTAGGAAAGACAAAGGGTGCTATTTCTAGATGTCTACAGTGGGCAATCCTGCAAACATATTCTGGCATGAAAATCCAGTCGGTAAGGCTGAAAGGGAAAAGATGCTTAACCAACAGGGATGTGTTGTGTGGATCACGGGTCTCAGTGGATCAGGTTGGTGTTAATATGTGTTGTTGCTTATTGGTTGTCTGTTGTATCAGCTGTGTCGAATTCGTATAGTTTGGACGTGTGTTTAGAGGCAGAGGAAAAGATGCCCTCCCATATTCAGTTTGAAATTTAGTCTGAAGTCTGAACTATTATTATGAGGTGGTCAAAAGTTTCAGATGCTCACTCTTGCAACATATTTTTACCATTAGTTTTCAAGATTCAATCTGAATTTGTGCAGGAAAAAGCACACTTGCATGTTCCCTAGGTAGAGAATTGCAGACAAGGGGAAAGCTTTCGTACATTCTTGATGGTGACAACCTTAGGCATGGTCTGAACAAGAATCTTGGGTTCTCAGCAGAAAGCCGTGCTGAGAATATACGTAGGACTGGTACGTGTATTCTTGCAAAATATAAGTACAACAACCACGAGTTTAGTAAGTTGTCTATTAGTGAGACTTGTGATGCAAACAACTTGAGCAAAAACAATGTGTTGCATATCTGTTTACATATGACTCAATAGATCAATTCTAGAATTGGAAGCAAAATCCCGGGTTCAAAATCTCTCCACTCTCCAGCCCCCAGGATTTCTTATTTCAAAATTTTAAGCTCAAAAACGACCTGTAAACACTTGGAGAACGTGATGGTTCTTTCACCTTCAAATTTAAGTCCACACTCCACTTCAGTTACATGAAAATGGAGTGTATAAAGGCGGTGATGGAGTGGGAATAGCTGCAGCCTTATGGGAATTGAGTGTATCTCGGGCTTTAGGCTCAGTGTCATCCTGAATAGGAGTAGTTAAGGGGTACCTTTTTATTTTCTCTTGGACTAATTGAATTACTCTAGATACTTATCGGTTTGGTATGACACATATTGGTAAACAGTTTGTGTTCCTGATTATCTGTACTATCTATAAACTTGATCAGGGGAAGTTGCAAAGCTCTTCGCGGATGCTGGATTAATTTGCATTGCAAGCCTGATATCTCCTTACAGAAAAGATCGAGATGCTTGTCGTGTTCTATTGCCAGATAAAAAGTTTATTGAGGCAAGCCTAATGTTCAACAATTTATTGTAGAATCTTTTGCATATCTAATGTTCCTTTTCTTATGACATTCCAGGTTTTTCTGAATATGCCCCTACAATTGTGTGAAGAAAGAGATCCAAAAGGCCTCTACAAGCTAGCTCGTGCAGGAAAGATCAAAGGTGTGCTTTAGCTTTGGGATAGTAGCCCATATTGTTTTTGATATCTGTAATCTGGAACCAGAGTGAATTATCTCATTAAGTAGTTGGCATCATTTACTGTAGTGCAGTGGTTTATATTTGCTTAATTGGTGGTGAAATGATATCTTCGACTTTATTACTGTTGAAATACTTCAAATTCTTATTTGCAGGTTTTACTGGAATAGATGATCCTTATGAACCACCTTTGAATTGTGAGGTATATATTATATTACTTCCGCTGGCTGCTAAGCTTTGAAGAAATTGTTAACTCCCTAATAGTTTTCATAATCACTTGTGTTCAGAAATGATATCTTTCACTTTTTTCTTTTTGCTTCTCTTGTTAGATTGAAATACAACAAAAAGATGGATTAGTTCCAGCACCACATGAAATGGCTGGGCAAGTAGTCTCTTATATGGAGGACAGAGGCTTTTTGGAAGCTTAGTAAACGTGCCGTGCTTGCTGCAGATAACAAGAAAAGACTCAGCAGATGGATATTGCCGAGAATTTTTAGTTCTCTCCATCTGTTTCTACCATTACATTTGCTGTTTGATATCATCACTATCTATGTGTTACTCAGATGATGAATATGCTACCTGTCAATTTGCCACTTTCTTGAAGACAATGTTGAATGCCAGAGTCTCCTTATAAGTTGAAGGTTTTTCAAGCAGAGAAAACAAGAAAGTCGGCATTCCATGTTTTTATGGAGAAGCTACACTACCTAGAAGATATTCTTGTTG